CTCTGTCCATTAGTTATTACAATCGTATCTTATTTTGATAATTTTTCTAAACAAGATAAGAATTCAAGATCTCTAAAAAAAAGTGCTTAAAAGCCTTTCTATTAATAATCCAATCTTTTTCAAAAATCAATGCAAATAACAAAATATTTAATGCATTCTAGATTTCTTTTGGAATAGATTTGTAATGCTCACTGAGATAGCTTTCAAAGATGTTGGCATGTAATTTGAATTGATTATCTCCTATGACCAAAATTGAAGCAAGTACGAGACAATCTTCGACTATATGTTCCGTTTTATGACACCAATGACATTTTAGCTCTTTCTTCCTTCTCAACTAACTATATTGATCTATCTATTAAAAAACAAAGACTGGTGTTTGCTAATAATATCTTCAAATTATATATATATATTTTTTTTAAATATCAAGGCATCTTTGTGAGAATCAAAATACAACTTCATTTTTATTTCTTCCATCTATAATCAACAAACTAGTTTTACAAGAGTGGATCCAGTTCGCTTGTTTTGGATGGTTGAACCAATATCTTGTACTTTGGGGAATTTTTTTTCAATATCTTGTAAATGATGATAAGGTCGAAAAGAAGTTCATTGGCTTCCCTAAAAATATTGATGAGCTCATGAACTATTTGTGTAAAAGATGCAATAGACATATTATTGTCCATCCTTAGGTTTTCTTACATGTCCAAAATTGTCATTATATCTCTAATAGTTTGTGTAAAACAAGATGCTAGTTGGCCTCAAAAACTACAAAATATAAAAAGATACTATTCAAAGCATCTTAGAGAGATAAGATCTCTAGAAAATAGTAGCTACAACCAATTCTATTGCTTATCTATTATATGCCTAAACTTAACACTTAATGTTACTTAGTTATACTATTCAAAAAACTTAGTGCCTCTCTTCAATGGCTATTAGCTTTGATACCATAATAAATACATTTCATTATAATAAATATAATTCATCAACATAAAAATAAGTTAATATAGGCCTAATGATTAATTGAATTATTTGGCTTGAATAGTAATATAAATATAGTATATACCTATGTTTTCTATATTGAGAATATATATGGAAATATGAAAGCAATATTCAACACTTATTACATCTTGCTACATCTCATAGCTTGACATTCACTATTTATACTATTTATGTGATAGAGCTTTGCTACATCTAACTAAGAAATGGATGCAAAATAATTTCACCTAAGACCACTTTTTGCTCATATAATTGTTCAAAGCTGCTTTTTAGAAGTGTTATTATATCTTATCTTTTCAGAGACTAAAAAACCACATACTTTTAAATATGTTCTTATTGCCAATTCTCAAAAATCTTACATTTATTGTAATTCACAATATAAAACCATCATATCAATTTGTGATAGCATAAATTACCTATTTCTAAAATTAGTACAATTAATAAGAGTTGTTTAGTAAATTTAATCTAGATCTTGATATTATTTAATAATTTTTCTTTGTAGATTGTGTTTTTTTGTAGATTTTATTTTAGAATATTGCTATAATATTCAATAGTTGTAGAATCTTGTAATATAATGTTTTCAATTTACTCAATTGAGTATGTGGAGTAGACTAATAAAATCTTAGAAAATAAAGAGATAAAGCTATAAATATCAATTAAAGTCTTATTTACATATGTAAATATATTAATTATTTTTTGGATCTTCTTTAGTTACAACTTCTATTAATTTTTTTTTTTTTTTTCTATGAAAGTCTAGCATTTATAAAAAGAGGTTTTAAAATTATTTATAATAAAAAAAATAGATTTTTTATATTTATAATATATTGTTGATCACAAGTGATTAGTTGGTTTCTATATGTATTTTTTGTGTTTTTTTTTGTTTTTTGTTACTATTATATTAGAGCTTTGATTTATTCTCTAGTTACTTCTATCCATCTTGAGATTTTTTATCTATTATTATTAATATCTTTATATATTTCTTTTAATCAATAGAATGTTTAATCTAAGTAAAAAATTAAGATGTTGATTCTAATATCTTAAATAGTAGAAAATATTGATGCAATAGAAGGTTAGAAGTCTTTGTTAGATCCATATTATAGACCCATATTTGAAAATAATATTAGAAATTTCTAAATTTATGTGTTATTTTAATTTATTCTAATAAGAAGAATAATTATTACAAAATGATAATTTATCTTTAATGTAATGGAAATTATTTCTTTTTTTAATAATGGTAGAAGCTTAGAAGTTAACATGACTAAACATATTTTTTTAGCATTGTAATATTATCATCTATATTAGGTGTGTTATCTAAAATATAAATATTTCTTTGTATAGATGTTAGAGAGTTATATTTTTTGAGGTTTCTTGCCTATTATCACTTTTTATTAAATAATAGTAAAACCTATTATATTTATTTTATGATTACTTCTTTATATCTATTTAGATTTAAAGAAAGTTATTAAATTTTTATCTTTTTTCTACTTTTTATTTATATTTAGGATATTAAATATAATCTTATCAATATTAGTATTTTTACTATTTTTAATATATTTTTGATGAATCTTATGTTTTTAGTCTAATGTACCTTATTTTTTCTTATTATTTTGTAATAAGATACAATCTTTGATCCCACACTTAATATTAAGAAAAAAATGATATTTGATATTATAACTAATGTAGCTAAAATTTCCTCTTATTACATATAAGATTTGTACCTTATACCTTCAGTTCTAAGTCTATAATTAAATATACTTCAATGCAAATTTAAGGTTTTTATAAATTTTTATTGATTTCTTTTTATATTTCAAAATTTATCATAGTTTAGTTTTTATTGCCATAGACATATAAATCAAAGGAAATTTTAGAACCTTCTAAAAATATTTTGTGTTTCAATAGATCCTTTCAAAATATTCTAAAAGCTTAATAGAAATATCCAATAGAGAGCAAAGAAATTAAGTTATATTAGATGGCTTCTTTAGAAAGTTTCAAATGTAACTTAATATATGAGCCTTATAAAAAATTTCACAAGGACCTTCTTCTAGTTTGGCGAACAAGTCTTCTAGATAGCTACTGCAAAAAGGTATTGAAAGCTTAGACAATAAGCCTTAAGCCTTATAAATAACATAAGTAGAAACAAGTATAAATCCTCCTTAGACTTATCACTTCATTTCTAAAGTTATTTCTTCTTTTGACTTCTAAGGATTCTTTCTTCTTAATAATAACCACTTAACTATTCTATTCTTTTATTATATATTCTTTTCTTACATATCTTGGTTTTTTTTGCTTAAAATTATTTCTTATTATTTAAAATTATGAAATATATTCTTAACAACTATCTATGGAGTAATTTTGTAAAATTTATCAATAAGTGTCAAGTACAAAAACCTAAAGAATGTAAATAATAAAAATAAGACATATATCAACTTGAAATTAGATTAGAAACAAGAAAGAAATTGATAAGAGTGAGCAAGGCCTCACTCTTGTTTCTATATATGTTATATAATCAAGAGCTACATGACAATATTGTATAGAACCTCCAATATTTGTCCAACTTATGCAACATATGTCTAACTTACAAGGCATATTTTTTTATATGTGTGCTATATGGCTAACTTATATTACATGCCAATTATCTATAAATACATATAAAGTTAAATTTGCATCTATAAAGATTTTAAGAAGCTTCTCAATAAGATATTACCAAATTTACTTTTATTTATTTATTTATTTATACTTAATTCTTTTAATTTAAGTAATTTCTAAGATGAGTATGTGTGTTTGTAATAAGAAGATTCTAAAAAGGAATTTGATAGATTTAATACTATTTCCTCTCTTCGAATTTCAAATGGCTTTAAGTTCAAGATTTGGATTCTAAGCTTGAAAAATAAAAAGTCTAAGAAAAGTTTCTAAAAGATAATAGTATCAACTTCTATAAAGAATCTACTTTTGATTATATTTTTTTTTAATTAAAATATTCTTGTCTAAAAATTTTTTTAGTAGAAATAAAGCTTCTAAATAATAATTCTTATTTAAAATGCTACTTAGCCAAGTAATTGTGGTTTGCTTTGCTACCAGCTAATCAAGCAATAATAGTTGTTTTAGATAGCAACTTCACTTCTTGTCAAATTGTCTATTAGACAATCTTGGTTTTATCAAGTATTATACTAAACAATAATTATATAGTTGTATAAGATTGCTATAAAGAGTGGCTCATTTAGGATGAATTTTATTGAATAAATGTAATCACTTTGCTTATGTGCTCCATATATTTTAATAGGTACTTTCTCATCCACTCTACTTGGATTTAAATTGGCTTGTGGTTTATGTCATGCTTCTTTCTACAATTATTGTTATGTTTGTTAGAAAGTGCCCATATTACAAGTATACTTAGCATATGTAGTTATTATACTATAATTAAGTCTATTTGTTGATTTAGAACTATACAAAAGGCAATTCTTATAAGATTCTACATAAACCACACCAAGAAAGAATTGTTCTAAAACACCCAATTAGCATGAATATCCAGATATTGGAATTGAATTGGCCATCAGTTTTAATCCATGAATTCTATATCTGGATTTGTAAATTATGCATGGATCGGAGAAGCTATAAGGTCACATCCCTTTGAGAAGTACACGCTATATCCAGTAATCTTCTGGCGGGCAGAAAACTGCAGAGGATCACTCTACTAGCATCAAGTCAATCTTACAGTGTGAGGGTATGGGTGTATGTCAAACTGTGAACACCTCAATTAACCATTATTTCCTTTCATTACTTCAAGTTCAGGTGACATATCAATTCCTCATTCTCTGTTCAACCAGATTTTAGTCTCAGGCATCTGCACAAAAGTAACAGAACAAACATTCCTGAGTAACTTAAGGTTATAAAATTGAGCAACAGACAATATTCATCAGCACATTTGCCTTCCTCCAGTAACCAAACGGGATAATCACGAGACCGCAGGCTCATAATTAAGCTCTGTAGATACAGCACACTTTTAGGAATTAAGCACACAGTCAAGCTTGCTTCAAGAACTTAGCAAAACCTGCCATTTCTTAAAAGAGTAAGTGCAAATACATGTTAAGAATCAGATCGTAATGATCAAGGCTTTCACAGCTGGTCAATAAATGAATTGCAGCTTCTTTTGCCTCAATGAAAAGGGACGCTGGCAACAATTTCAGTTGTCTCTATTCCTATTTCTTCACACTAACCTGGCTTCAAATGTGCACACAGTTCACGATGAACTTACACTGTGAAAATTATGGAACACTATCTAGCAAGGAACCTACAATCGTGTGCAAGAGAGGTCGAAGTCATCAGGAGCATGAGTCAAGAGCCAGGAACTAAGGGACCTTTTAGACTCTACGCTGTTCATAGACGCCAACTCATACATACTACACAAATTAAGAACCATGGTCTCACTCAAAGTGGACCGAGGACTAGACTGAAGTGAGTCCTCCAGAACTGATGTTGCACCAAGAAGTTCCCGCTGGTACATCAAACAAAGCGCCTGCTAATACAAATGCAACTATTCAGAATCAGAAACTAAGGTATTCACAAAGCATGGATCAGTGTTGGGTAGCAAGACGAATGATTCAATCTAATACACCATTATGAATAGTGAACAAAAAATTCAAAACTTTTTTAGGACTTTGGACACGCAACAAACAATAAAATAATGCTGTCAGATGGGATAACTTATTTTTCCAGATACAAAGCTTGTATAGGAGTAACTAGCCTTGTTGTTTGCAGAAATTGTGTCATGTGGACTTCTATTCAAGACAGTGGTGAATTCATTGAAGGCCTTCGCGTATTGTTTATCGGCAAAGTGAAGAAGACCTCGATTTCGTCCCGCCAAGTTCAAGAGATTCTCATCTACAGTATCTGAGATGAGAGCATCGACCTTAGAGAAGGTCTGCTGAGCTCCTCCAAGGTCGCCCAGCTGAAGCTGAACATAACCTACTCTTGACAGCAGGTCTGCATCTGTGGAAGAACTGCATAATAAATGGTGTCAAAAGCTGCTTGTATGTCTGCGAAGAAGGGTCGCTACTACGTACCCAAAATAAAACATTGAGTGTATTGTTCAACACACCTGGCCAGTAGTTCATTTAACCACTGCAGCGCCACAATATACTGTTTCTGGAACAAATGATGACCCACAAGGGCAAACAAAACAGCCTCTTTCCGCCTCATCCACGTCAGGAGCAAATTTCCTGTAACGGCACTATCACTAGCTGTGAATTCTCCAAAATCTTCCTCTTCCCCGCTAGTGCCCACCTCCTCTGTCAAAGTCCCTTCCTCGGGATTCACCCGTTCGATTAGAGCATTATCGTCGCCACTAGCAATGTCACCATTCCCGTTGGTAGAAAAATCAGTGGCAGTATGCACCAATGGCGGTGGCGGCTTGTCACTACCAGCATCGCTTGGTCTTAGAGATTCAACCTGGTCACACAACCAGGATTGATGCCTTATAAGCAAGATCATATGATTGACTTGGGTCAAATTGAAGAAGTGATCAGCGTCGGTCCAAGAATGAGAAAAGACTTCACAGTTAAAATCGTGAATTCAAGCCTACCATGTTATCTTGCGACCAAAAGCAACCAAGAGGTGTAGACTCTTTAAAGATATAAGATGATTAATTTATTTGATTTTTCACAAGATCAAGTTAAGAGCGACTCAGTATTAAGTATACAGTACCGTGAGGCATGCACTGTGAGAAGACTTACTCGTGAGTTGCAAAAATCTAGAAGAGCATACAACCGTTCTATAGTGGTAGCTATTTGCCCATTCCGATGAGGTAGCTCAGCATGCATCCATCTCAGCGCAAACGGCACCATCGAACCTGTGCCAGAGAAGACCAAAAAGCGAACAGAAAGACACAGAACCTTTATTTCTTTGGCTGTGGCATTTTCATGGAAATCAACTTGAGGATAAATAACAAAACGAGATCCACAACAATTTCAACATACCTGATTTATCAGGGTACACGGAAGGATATTCTTCGTAGCGATACTGCGCAGCATCGAGATCACCAACAGCTGCCAATTCATCGGCAGCGGCACCATAGCTCCGCAGCTTCATTAATGCCAAGAGATGATAAGTTGCGTAATTCAGCTCATCAAGTGGAGTCGTGAGGACGCCCAGCTTTTTTGCACCCCTCACCTTGTCCAATAATGCTCTCCATGCCCCTTGTCTCTGTAGCGCATACCAAAGTTGTTCAGGGGGCAAAGTTTCAATATATCTATTCCCTGGAGTCTAAAAGGGCCGTTTTCTGCCAAGCTCAATTCCCAAGACCTTTACAATATTGAATTATAACGCAAATGCACACAAAAACGTAGAAAAGATGTGAAGGACTGTACCGCGAGCTTGCGTAAGCTGGAAATATCAGAAGAGCCTTGAAACGGGCGGCTGCTAAACGAGAGGGGGCTAGCATTCAGCTTAGATCTACTAGACGTAACAGCCTCCGGGGAGTTCGAGAAGGTTTGGGTTGTGGATGCTGCAGAGGCAGTCGGGAGCTTCGCCAAGGACGATCCGGAGAGAGCATCTTCTTCATCTTCGTCACTAAAAGGATGGTGACCCATGAGAGGATGTCTCACAGTATCTGCAGGGCCATTGTTGGCTTCTGCTTGAAATAATCCCCACGGCTGGCCAATGTTCGATGTAAAGCTGGGTTTTGGACTGGACTGGTTGGTCAATGACGCCAATCGCGAAGCAGATGATGGTGAAATGGGGACGGATTTAAAAGAAGGTGAAGAGGTGTCCCCGAAGGGTAAGTTGATCGACGTATCTAGAGGCGACCTCTGTGATATGTTTGGGGTTGGCGAATTGAAAGCACTAAAGTTGTCCCCTGACATAGCAGACGATCGAAATTGCTCCTCCATGTTGGGATGCTCAAGTGCTCAATGCAACTTGACTGCCCCCTCTACTGTCAATAGCATCTCTCCCCGAACCCTAAACTGCCTCTTTTAAAATCATTTCCGAATCCAGTGACAGCAACGACAAGGGAGTTATGAAAACCCGCAATTAAAGAAAAGAGACAAGAAACCACAACTTCAACTGGCTATCGTAAAGAATGGAGGTCTTAGCACCGTGTTGAGAAAGCATTGCTTGAAAACGAAGAACAATACGGGCCACACAGCGACCGCAAACAAACACCCACCTTGCGGGAAACTAGTAACACTAAATCTGACGATAGCACGAAAAACCTAAACACCAAGTCATCAATAGCAGGCGTAACTAGAAGGATGGAGAATCCACAAACTGAAGCCAAGATCAACAACCGCCTACTGCTACACATACAAAACGACAAAGAATCTAGACCAGAGTACTGAGATATAAGTTCAAGCTATCACAACCACGTAGATTCTGTTGTCTAAGGTCAACTTGACAATTCACCGAGCAGACGATCCGGTTTGCTCAAATTCGATCCTTCCCAAGAGGATTGAAAAACAAACTCCCCAAACCGAATGGCGTCAAAGTTAGGATTAGGATTACTTACTTCAGGTGAGCTTCAGATCCAGAACACCACCCGCACTTAAAACAGAAATAGAGAGTCTACCCCGCTGATCCCTCACGTGATTACAAGGCTCAAACTTCACCAGCTCGCAACGCAGCGACGTCTTGAGTAACCCTCACACCAAGCTTCTCCCCTGACGAGATGCATTAAATCTTCCTGCAACTAGTTGAACATTTAGAAACCCACCTAGAGATTGCACTGGTAATATCGTAGCAAATCATCACATTGCTTATCAAATATCGTTGAAAAACACGATGTCGTAGTGATGTTTGATGTTTTCTGAGAATTTTGCAGATTACTCGGAAGCACCACAGCCACAAGCTGGGTTCCCATGTTCCCAACGGTCCTGGTGTTCCCCATATACCCCATAGTAACAAACTGGATCGCATAACCCCTCCGTGTTTAACAACAGCCTCTGTTTCAGACACCCATCTCTCCGTGTATCCAACACATATCAAATTTGTACACTTCCCTTGGCGGAAATCTTCGATTAGACGGTTTGTTGTTTGTTACACACTTCGGCAGCAAACAAGGTGGGTTTGCAACTCATCTGTTGAATCCTCAACTTTCTTTCAGGTCTTTCTCTGATGCTCTTCCGAAACCTAGAAATCAGCATGGAAATGTTACTCAGGATAGGTGTCATTTGCTTGTATCCTGTGTTTGTTCCAGTGGGCATTGCGAAGTATGTCGCGTATTGCATGTCCTGTGAAGATGTCAGTTTTCGTTTCCTGATTTTGTAACACCAGCCCAAGAAAATTTGATTCCATTAAAAGTGCAATGTTTCTCAAGGAACCGTCCCACTTATCAAGCACACCAGTGTGTTCATTGATGTTGTGAATGTGGGCCTGGAGTGAACTGTGGGATGGGAAGTGAACATTGTAGGAAAGGTACCACATCTAAATTGTTGTTATAATCGAGCCTCTGCACACAGCACGCACACTCTTCTGCCACAATCCCTGTCAAGTTGTTCAAAACATAGAATTCTGGGGTGCTCCGTGTATAATGAAAAATTGCATGGTTACCTTTCTTCATAGGAGACGGTCTTTTACATTAAGAGATCGTTACATGTCTAACACAGTTTGAGTGCAAGTATAAATTGAACTTGGTGGCCATTCCTCTGGTCTCTGGCTAGCATGCATAGATCCTAGATAGGAGGCTTCATTTCATATACTTTCATTCTCTTTAGCAAGAGCTAACACGCAATTAGTCATTTTCTGTTTCACAATGTTCTTTCTTATCTCTGACTGTTATTCCTGCTGTCACAGAGCTCCTCATACATCAAACACCTGAAATAATGTGCTGTGGAGGCCTTCTTTGCGGAGGAGACAACACATTTGTTATCAACATGTTTTACCAGATTTTTTGGAGAACCTTTTGTTGTTGATGTGAGATCCTCTGCATCCCTTTAATTTGACGTGTTGAGATCATAATTTGACTTGTTTTCGAACTGGTAAACCCTGTCGCCATCAGAAGTTTGATAGGTTTTAAGCGATGAACCAGAGCTCTTCTCTGGAGATCTCATAGCTCTGACGTACTACATAACTTCCTGTGTTGCTTTACTGGTATAAGTGGTCTTGTTTGATAGACAGTCCTTTGCATTTAATAGCTGTGGCATATTTGCGTTCATAGACGTCTTTGAAATAACGTTATATTTCTTGAACTACTTTAGTTTAATTAACTTGACATGTTATACAGACATTTACTTGGAGAATATCAATTCTGTAACATGGTTGAGGATATTCAAATCAATTTGTTATGGAAGAGTTTTCATCCCGTTGTAACACTAGCTCTGACATTTGGAACAAGATGAAGAGTGATGACGAAAAGTTTTTATTTCTTGTTTTATTGCTAGTGCTGCATTTGATGTCTTATAGTGTAACTAACGCACTTCGGGGTTCGGTGTGGGTTCTGGTATCAGCTATGTCACGATCTCTTGGCAATTTTTATGATTTCAACTGAAGTGACCACATCTGAAGTTGCAGGAAAGCTCCATGGGCTGCTGCCTTTGCTGTTATGTATCTGTTTCATCATAATGAGGTGCTGTCATCCTCAACGGATTTTGTTTTGCCATCCCTACAATGTGCCGACTAAATGTGATCCCAAGTTTGCTACCTGACACCTTGGTTATCGAACAAGACGATAAGAAGAAAGCAAAAAAATATATATACATTTCTATGTATCCATATGGTGTAGTTTGTAAGGAATGTTGTGTTTTGCGTGAAGGCAACTTCTGCAGAACTCCAATTCCATCTCTGGTTTCTGACGCTTATACTTGGTGAATATAGTTCGTTTGCCCTATGTCAGATTCCGCTTCCTCTCCGGGCTTTTTGGACCATTGAAGAAAAATTCTGATTTATTCTACGTGTTAAGAACAAATCTTCGCGAGTTTTCCTAAAAGATGTGAAATTGAAACTAGTCCCTCTTTTCCCCGGCAATGGAAACATCATGGCGGACTTCACATAATTGGAACGTGCAGGAATCTAGGGTGAGCAACTGTCAACAGCCACTACATGCAGCAAGGCAGAAACTCACAAGAGAAAGACGCGCGAGTTTTGAAGAAGCCAACAGCAGGCACGCCGTGGAACACCCACCTACCCAACCCATAGAAATCAACAACCCTGGGTGATTCAACCCAATTTATAGGGTTGAGACGAGATATTTTAACACACGCTGAGACCGAGAGAATATGCCACAAATTTCCATGCATTACACATGATTTCATTCTTCACGTTGCTCGTCCCGAGGCAACTTGTGCCAACAATTAGGGTGTATCTGAGTCAAGGGTTGCGTTGGCACAGCAACTGATGCACTAATACAAACACACACACACACACACACACACAAAAAAGAAGAAAAAAAATTGAGACGAGATCTCTCGTGTGTGTCTCGAATCCGTCGTGATTGCGTCGCCGTTGAAGGAAAATCTAAATACAACCCCCTCAAATTCTCTCCCTTCAATGAGGGCGATGGTTCCAGAACTGGCACCTTTCTCCAAAACTGGCGCCTTGCTCCTATGTTGCTCTTCACGCATCGAGCTGCCGACATTAATTTGGCAACAGGGGAGAGAGCGAAGCTGGTGAAGGCTTAGTTATTGGGGTCCATGTGGCTCAACCCTTGTTGCCTTCCACTAATTGTGCCATTAGGGCTTGTCAAAATATTAGAAACATTCATGGGTTGTGGGTATTCTAGGGTTTTGGCTACCTCCTTTGGTAAGCATCAATAAGTGGCGTTGGAAAGAGGTCTTTTTCTTGTGTGGGTAGACCAATATAGAGTTGTTCTTGTGTTTTATATTGCTCTATATTTTTCTTATTTCTGTTTGTCTTGTCTATTTCTTTGATTTATTTTTATATTATTTTGTTTTTCTACATGTTACTTGTTGATAAGTTTTTTATTTTTTATTTTTATTTTTATATACTTATGGTCATATGCATCAAGGCATCTTTGGTTGTTTATAGTATCCTATTTTGTGGTCTAATTTTTAATTTTCTTACTTTAACAATAAAATATTTACTTGTTCCAAGTTGAATATTAATGCACATACAATGTGTGTATATATATATAATAAAATATGCCACAAAGATTGTCATTCTAAACACTCTAATAGACATGACGATTTGCAAGATTAACTATTTTTAACATATAAAAAAATTGAATAAGAAATAAATTTCAGGAAAAGTAAATCAAAATAATATTTATAGTGATTTGTAACAAGGCCATGAATTAGTTGAGAAATAAAATATTTATAAAAATGCCATCACATCTTAAAAAATATATAAATTCCTATATATGATTTCTATCATATATATGATCTCTATCAACTAATAAAACATACATACAAAATTTAAACTTCTAATTTATATTAATAGAATTCATGTAGTATTTATAATTCTAAAATTTTAATGCATTCAGCTTTCTTATAAAATTAATTTCATTTTTAATCTCAAAAAGAGTAAAGTTGAAGAATTAATAAAAATTACATTTTTGCCACTTGTTTTTTAATTAATTAACTAATTTTAAAACTTAAGATTTTTTTCATAATGAGCATTTGGAAGTATACTTCAAGATTATTCTGTCTTCAATTAGTAGCCATTTCAATCAACAATAGATAACAAAATGATTACTTGTATATGTTTAGTATGTGATTCTTAAAAAAGTTCTACATGATCTATTTATTAGATAGTATATGCAGAAGGATAATTGATATAAATCTCACTCTTATTAGTGGGTTTATTATATTATAGTCTGGATTCAAAGTCTCTATTATTTTTCCCCTTAAAATATCAATGCAATTATTTTTTTTATATTTTATTTGTTTATAGAACTTCTCTATTTTTTCTTTTTTTATACTTATACATGAGTATTTATTTTTCTTTGCATAAGTTTTTAAAAGTTATATTTTTTATTTGAAATTTTATTCTTAAATATTTAAATAATATAAAAAATAAATTTATTGATAGAAAATTGAAAATAAATATATAAATAAAATAAAAAATTGAAATCTAAAACAATTAGCAAAATAGTTTACAGAAAAACCATACACATTTAAGATATGTATCAAAGAATTAAAAAAATACTTTAAGAACAAAATATAAATAAATAAATAAATCAAAGTTCTATATATATATATATATATATATATATATATATAATTAAAGCAAGTAAAAATAACTAACTTACAAAACATACAAGCCAAACATGGATTAAATAATTAACAATTTACACGTATTTTAAATTGACACAAAATCCATGTATAAATTTATTAATTAATTAATTTATATAAATAATTTATTTATTTAAAATATTATATTATAATTAAATATTATTATAAGATTATTTAAATTTAATAGAATATAATCTACTATGATATAAAAAAATGATTTTAAATTATAACACTATTTAATTTATGTGAGGATTTTTTTAATTTTTTTTCAACAAGGTTAAATAGTGACCACATTGCAATATGAAATTTCATACATAAGTGTTTTATAGTAGAATATACTTAATGTAAATATGTTGACAATAACACTTTTTTTCTTTTTTTTTTTTTTTTTTTTCCTAAGACCTCAAACTAATATATTTTTATATTATATTTTTAAATTAAATATTTATTATTTTAGTAAATTCAGAATTTTATTGTATTAGATTGATGTCTTTTTTGCTCTAAAGAATAATAATTTAATTTGACTTAATATAATTTTTACTTGTGGTTATTTTTTAAATAAATAAATAAAATCTCAAATTAGAGATTCTATTTCTTCATTTTGCTTGAATCATATTGACCTAAAATCTCAAGATAAGTAATGTACATAAACAGAAAAAAAATAGAATTATAATTCCTTACATAAAAACCCAAAACTAAACTTAAGTGAAGTCTTGCAACAACAAGATTTTACAAGGCAAAGAAATTCCTTCTTCATGTAGGATTGTTGTCCATTTTTAATATTTCCATGTACATTTTATTATTAATATGGCAAGTACCACTTCATAAATAAATTCAATATAGAATTATTTTTCTATCGAAAATATCTAGATGTCCCTCAAGTCATATGTTTCAAACAATAAAACTTACAAAAATCCACATAAAACTAAATAAGATAAACACAAATCAAACATAGTAAAGGTTTAGAAGGAGGCCAGCTAATTCATGCTTTAAAATAGGGAACTAAGCTTATGTAGACACACTTTATTAGAAAGATCTCTCACAACATTTATTTGATGAACAACACACATGTGTTTATATATATATATATATATATATATATATCCAACATAAAAAAAATAGAATTATAAATGTAATGTTGGAATTGTCACAACTTAGTTGTGCTTCAAAATCTATACGAAGTAATGTGAAATTAGTAGAACAACCGAGAGAGAGAGAGAGAGAGAAAGAGAGATAGAACATTATCTTGCTGGAATCCATCAAGTATTAGAAACAAATTAATAATATGTTTTTAATTTTATATTTTTTTACTAATTAATCTTGAAAGTGTTACAAAATACATTTTGCCAAGGAGGATGACCTCACGGATTCATGCATGATTAATTAATTGTAATGCTTTGAGTTTATTCCAAAGCATAAACTCAAAGCATTACAAAATAATAAATCACTCACAAAATGCATGTCAAAAGCAATTATTTTTCTTAACTCTTAATTTATTTTTTTGTTTGTTAATTTAATTTAATTTTATTATTTTATTTTATTAAAATTCATCCATATACAAGATTCATCCAAAAATGATAATTCATCTAATAATGAATTATCATCCATAAATAACATTTCATACATTCATATCATTTCATCCATTCATATCAATTTATCCAAATAATTTCACCTATAATAGTTCATCCATGACAAAATTTCATTTTTGATTAGATATTCATTCAAATAGTTTTTCTTAAAAAAAATTAAATCCTAACTTCCTATCTCTAAAACCTAATTGTCTAGGGTTCCATCACCTTGCAGATATGAGGATTGTTGGAGATGGGTGACACTAGAATTCCGCTCTGCTTGAAGGTCAAGAGTTGAAGCTGCAGGTTACCGTTCTACCAAGCAGGGACTCCAACCAGACTAGTTTCTAAGACAGTGTCGATAATTCATAACCCACCATGACTGCAAGGTAGAGTTTGAGCCCACACTACACACAGCATGCGAATGCTGCTCCTCTATGTTTCACCGATCTTGATTCAATTTCTAATTGTATGTGCTAGGAGAATCATAGATGCTAGCTGTTCACATGAGGTTCTTTAGCAAGGCCAATGGCATTATCTATAGCCAAGCTGCATATATAAATTCTTTTACTACACCATAAATTACACTATATGTCTCACAAGGGCCCTCTCTACTACCGACAACGTACTACAATCATAAGTTCCAATGGGCAACTTCCTTTAGCTAATGAGCATTGACAAAATTGGCACTAAAATTCCAAACACCTTCAACAACACTGGATTTTGGATCATATTGCTTCTCCAGAAGTGTTAATAGAAGCTCTAAACAACAAGACGCTTGCTCAATTCTTCCCCTTCATAATCACATCTCCAGATTAAGGCGTTGATCTTTGCTATTAAGATTTGGAACACCAACGAGCTCGCGCCTGCTTACGAGTTGCAGAACATTGATTGATATCAAGCAGTCCAGCAATACTTGCCTCCTCTGCCTGATTGCCCAATTGCAAAAAGAAAACAACGAGGATTGGTGCAACATACCGCATTCCTAGCTGCATATCCTATTGTAGCAAAGTCCGCCTCCGTTCCCTTCTATTGTAGAACCTCCACACGATCTGATATCGGCGGGACCAAAACACTAGCAGTTGAATCCAACAACAAGGGAGTGAAGGAAAAAACAATGAGCCACCTCTAGCTCCACAACGCAGCACAGCATTGTTGATGAGAAGAAAAAAATGCCCAACTTGAAAATTGCACACTAGAGAAAGGGAGAATTTGATGGCCCTTGCCTAATATCCCAACAAACCGCAAGACCGCCATTCAACTATTGCTCCATGCTACGAATTCAAGTCTTGGTACACCACCACTGATAGTGACCGCTAGCTCGATCAACTTAGAACCACGAGAAGCTTGGGGTGAGAGTTCAGTCGCAATGACGACCCAAAACAAAACAAAATGGAACTTGGCAACGATTGCATCGCAATCTCAATTGCCGCCGCCACCAAGAAAAGACACCAACACAATGGCGCAGCAACCTACACCGTAAGAACTAAGCTGGATAAAAAAATAAAAAAATAAAAAACTAAGGAGGAATTTAACTAATCCGCTGCAATGCCGTCGACGAGCAATAACAGCCCCGACCAATAGAATACTACGCGAACACCACCAACCGCAGAATCAGGAAGGACCAGATACTAAATTGAGGATTGCTTGTTGCCGAGTAATAATATGAGCAAGGTGACTAAGGCAGCAACAACAATACTCTCTGGTCGCTGCTTCCACTAGGTCGGAACTCGCTCCAACTAGCACCGCAACTCCGCTTGAAGCAGCCGCCAGAGACACAGCAACCAAGTTGCAGCCAGAGAACTGCCATAGCACCTCACCGAGACACAGAAAAAAATCCAAAGAGAAGAGCTTTGCTGCTCGGAAAAAACTGAGCTTTGGAACCACCGGCGCCTCCTAATTGAAATAGCTCCACGTCCAGAATTCTCAAGGGGAACAAGAAACCACTCCGCAGCCACACACGAAGAAAGTCCGCAGGGACCAGAGCCAGAGACTCATCACACACAAAAAATAGGAAAGAAGGGAGGGGGGATCCAGAGTGGCCCAAACCCCTATCAACAAAGAGGCTGCCGAAGTTAAGAGGCAGCCT